GGACAAGGAGGAGAGGCTGTCTGGGAATACTAACACTTCTGGGGTGGTTTGGCTGAAACTACTGTCACTTTAATAAAATTCTGTTTCTTCAAACAACAAATGGCTTTTTAAAAAAAGAGGGTGATGCTTTGGTTTCTTTTTTTTAGGGTAACATCATACTTGGGACTAAGATATGGAAAACTGTGATGTGGTGAACACTGCACAAGAAATCCCATTGTCTCCTGCAGACTCTGATGTCAGAAGTACCCCCAGCTCTGTCTGTGACTTGAATTGTAACAGGTAATGTGTTGAAAGAATTCCTAACAATGATTTGTGTTTTGTACTGCTGAGCAGTAATAGCTGTGCTGATTATGCTGTCTCTCTTGGAAAGCTCCTGAGTTTTAATAGTGGGTAAGATAGGAGTGAAGCATGCTGTGGATCCTTTGACATTTTCTTGAAAAACATCCTTTTTCTTATAAATGTCTTATGGTTTCTTTTTTTTCAGCTTGAGAAGAGTCACAATGTAAATTAACTGTATAATTCTTTTATGGCTGACTAGCATATGTAGTGTAGTATTTTAGCCACTGAGTTAGAAAGCTGGGCTAATAAATAATTGAAATATTTTTCCTCATGTTTCTCTAGAAGTCCCTCATCCAATACCAATGGAGTTTCTGGTTACTCAGGGAATACCAGGTCCTCATTAATGCCTGGTGCTGTTGAGCTGCTTGCCTCCTTTGTGCAAGATATCCAGAACATTGGAGATGCTGACTCACAAGTTGTGAAGAACTGTGAGGTATTTCATGTTAAGGTTCTTTGTTTGTTTTTAAAATAAATGTATTTGCTTTCCATTTTGGGAGACAGTTCTAACAATGATATAGTGTAGTAGTAGTGTCTGTATATGTATGTGTTGTGGTTATTCTTCCTGTTGGGAGAAACACTTTAACAATGTATGAACTACTCGTGTAGATCAATTTTTATCTTAGCTTTTTATCTTAATATTTTACAATACAAATGTAAATTTTTTTTTTTCAGTTATAATACTTAAAGATTGCAAGTTTTCCATACTGAAAAATGTAAACATTTAAAATTGTAGCACTTCAAACTGGCCTGAAGTGATCCTAGAAGTTGGAAGTTTTATTTCTGAAAATGATTCTGGTTTAGTTTATTTATTCCATTTATTCTGTAAAGATGTCTAGATGATTGTTTCCAGATTTAAAACATCATAAAAATCATGGTGTAGGCTCAATGAGCTAACACTGAGCTAAGGACAGAGTTTCTTATTGAGGTGAATAGTTCAGTGGACACAGGGACATTTAATATCAATTTTAAAATAGCCTTTAATTTATTGAATTGGAATCAACCTGTCCAAAATTTGACTGTACTTCCCTGCCAGCTGTATCTACTTTGAAGTAATTTGCTGTAGAGATGTGTTCTCTTGTCTAGAAGGACCTTATTTTAAGTGGATGTGTCCATAGTGAATTGTTTCCATTGCTTGATGTGATGGGAGCTGCATGTGCTGTGGGGTGGACAACCACAGTGCAGTTGCTGAACTTGTGTCAACACTTAGTATAAGATTGCATCTCTTACCTTTTAGTCTAGCTACAAAATAGTTCTGCAATATGACTGTGGTTTAATTATTTTCCTTTGTGATTTAATAGACAAGGTGGCTACAGTTACTGAGACTGGTAGAAAAACAATGTCAGGAGCAAATAGCTGCCCAGCAAGAGCAGTTCCACCATCAAATCCAAGTAAGTAATGATTTGTTCATGTAGGTGGGTTAGGCTGAGTGTTTCTTCTCACACTTCCAACCCCACCCCCTCCCAAACAATGCAGCATGGTGGCTGGCACACCTCTCTTTTTTCTGTAAGTATATTCAGCTATGCAGTTAATGGAAGTGGATGACTGGAATGATGATTTATAGGATGCATCTTTGAGACAGCCTTGGCTAATGAACAAAGTAACTGGTAGGGACCGTTTCAGAAGTGAAGATTCTTGGATTATGTGTTTTCAGTTGTTTCCACAAACATTTGGCTCAGAATGCCCACAGGATAATTGGATTCTGTAGGTACAAGCTGGGTTTTATTAACTGTTAGACAGTATGATTTCTTATTTTGAGACACTGTAGTTTTCTCTTCATTAGAAAATGGTAGGCAACTTGTCATTCCCTCATCTAGACAGTGTGTAGCATAGAAAAGCATTCACTGTAATAGCTGAACACTTATTTCACCCTGTAGTTGAAGTCTCCTTTCTAAGAATGAAAAATGTCCCACATGAAGATTCACATTTTTCCTGAACCATACTTATGCATTAAAGCAGAAGAAATGTATATGTATGTATAAGAGACAGTAATTCTATAAATATACAATGCTTAATCATTTAATCCTCATCATTTTGGTTGCTGTTTTTCCCTTCCCTTTCCTGATGCCCTCTACACTAGTAGTAATCAACAGTTCCTGAACTGAATTAACAAGAGGTACTGTCCTTTTATCCTCTCTCCTGTTTCTGTCCCTGTCTTTTTTCCCCCTTGTCCCATCTCACTATTTTAGTCCCACCAGTGTTTCCTTACCCTTGTATTTCCTTCCTTTTGCTCTAGTGGTTTGGATTCCTCATTGCTAATCCTAGTCTTAACTAACCCATTGTGTTGGCTTTGATGGTTTTTGTTGTTCTCAATAGGAAAGGCTACCTCTGGAAGAGCTGAGTTTGTGGTGTCAGCAGGCTCTTAGTAACTGCCTGAATTGCCATACTGAAAAAAAATCAACAGCTGTAACATACCTTCAGTTGTATGAGTGCAATAGGTAAAATAGATGGAGCTATTCCAAATTTAAACTGGTATGCCAGTGACCTAGTGAAAATAGTGAAATATGGGCAACTCAGCCCCTTCTGATAAGAATAACAAAAAAGACAAAAATAATAATTCACTGTTCAGGGTAGAATAACAAGCTGCTGTGTTAGCATTGACATGACTGAGATAAGCTTGTGCCATGCTGTGTTTCAAAACCAACTGTGCTTATAAAAATACTTCTTCATCCATGTGAAAATATGGATCAAAAGACCTTCAGTTCATTTTGGAGTCTGGGGTCTGTCCTTAGCTGATGTGATTTTTACATGAGAAGACAAGTGTGCTCATGAGAAACTTTCACCACCTGGAGATCATCCTAAGGTCAAACTTCATTGAAGAGTAGTTCAAAATAAAAAGTTACCTACAATCCCAAAACTCTATAAAAAAGGTGTCTTATTTTCTCCAGGTCTTTTCTTCTTTTACAATTATTTGGTAAATGGAAGTATTTGACTATGCAAAGAGAAGTAAAAGTGTAATTTAATTGCAGTAGATGCCTTTTACTTTTCCCATAGAAGTTATTAATGGCAAAAATTAAATGCCAGCAGAGAATCTGATCAGTTTGGTTTTTGCCCCACGACTCTGTTTTTTCTCTTTTATTCTACCTTCCTTGATAGAGTTGAATCACAGCATTAAGATGCAATTTATTGCTGCAGTCATGATTGAAATCACTAGCACAACTAAAAACTTCCATGGCTTTGTTGGGTTTTTTTGCACAGAAAGTCTGAGCTGAAATTCAGCTGTAAGTTCTATTGCAAGTTAATAGAACGTATGGGCTTTGGTTCTGACTAGTGCTACATGTAGGTTCCTCTGAAATTTTTATTTTTTAGTTCTTGGTTTCAGAGAACAAATGATCTTTGTTCAGTTTGTGCTTTCTGCTTGCTATTAGTATGGGAGTAATACACTATTCTGGGGAAAAAAAAACATTAGTAGAGTTCCATGCTCTTAAATTTATTGCAAGTTCTGGGTTTTTTTTTTTGGTTTGGTTTGTTTTTTATTCCCCTGAGGGAAGTGGTTTCAAATGTGTTCTTGAAAACAGCTATATACTCTGCTCTTGTCATAGGAGTTGTGCACTCATGCAGGGTTCAGTTATCTCAATATAACTGAGTGGAAGTGCTGGTTGCTGGCCAGAGGACACAGCCGTGGGCACCAGCATGAAGTCTTTCAGAGCCCTTGACAAAAGCATTAGTTGTTTCTCAGAGCTGTTCCAACATACTGGTGCCCAACTGTAAAACTTGAAAAAAATATTTCTTATTGAATATCCAGAAATAACTCTTCACAGACACTGCAGCTGAAAAAGTAACCTGTTAAATCAAGTGATCTAGTTTCAGATTTGCTCCACTCTGTTAGATACCAGAACATTCAAAATGTGGATCTATGGATTATATGAACTGCCTAATAACATATTATCTAAATCAGATATTTTAAAGTCACGTTTTATGCAAATAATCTTACAGAGGTACATTATTCCTATTAGCATAATTGAGTAATGATTTATTCTTCCATTAAAGCATCCTTGCAATCTTTAAAAATGTTTATCTAAGTTATAAATTGTTACAGACCTGAATTTAGTGAAAGACTTTTGTCCATTTCTGATGACATACCTTGATCGTTTACATTTCTGTAGCTGGCTGGTAGGTAATTAGTTCTGCAGGCATGTAGTGAATACATGCATGTGGGGCTTTTTTAATGTTAATAAATGACTACTGGGACCTGTAATTCACTGCATGGAGTAAAGAATTGTTGCCATGCACATTTTACTGTTATGCACAGTGTGTGTATTATCTACTTCATGCATGAGAAGTCTACGTGGTGAAAATTTGATTTATTTGGAATAAGTTCTCTAATTCGTTCACTAATAACATGAATGGCAGATGCATTAAAATATAAATGTGATTTGTGGCATGATCTCACAGACATTTGGCCTTTTCTTTTTCTACAGCTGATTCAGAATGAGATAAGGCAGCTGGTGAAGTTGCAGAGCAGCAGCCGGGGGGCTGGCAGGAGCAAGAGTTTCCCTGCCAAGGTTAGAGGCCCTTTTTCATCACTAGGAAGTGAAATGGGGATGCGTTCTGAAATCTTTGAAGAAAATGAGTGCGTGGTCAATCAGCTTAGATCTAACGAGGCAGAAAGTCAGGCAAATGCAGCTGAGCTGCATCAGGAGTGTTTTGCCACCGACGCCTCGATGAGCAGTGGCTATGGCACCGTTTCTGCCTCGGAACAGAGCCCCCCCAAATCCCACGGGGGTAGCAAGAGCCCAGCCTGCGCCGAGGAGACTTCCCCAGGGCAGGGTGGTGCAGCCCTAGCCAGTGTTCAAAATAAACCAGGACTTCTGCCCCCCAAAACAGAGGAGAATTTTTCATCTGGAATGAACGATGTTTTAGTTTTGCCTGCTGAATCGGAACGAAAAGTCAATGAAGCTCAGTGTGGAACAAAGCCTGGGTAAGTGATAAACTCTCTTAATGCATTAATTTATTGTAGACAGTCCTCATGCCATACACAGCTGTTGGTAACTGGAAACGTGGAAGAATTGAATGGAACCTCTTGAGTGTAAAAAATACCATGCTGCTTGGTAGGTAGTTACTTGTTCAGCTGAGTGTTTTCCACATGATGCGTGTTTGTATCTGCAGTGGTTATCTGCTGGAGATACACTGGGGGAAAAAGCTGAAAACCCACTTTCTTCTGCAGATATGAGCTAACATGCAGTTTGCATATAATGTTTACCCACACACCAGAATTTTAGGTGCTGATCACAAATTTTATATGACTGATATTTTGTTACTGTGCTCAACAGTTTTTTTGCCAACTTATATGTATGCATTACAGTAATAAATTGTATCAGACAACAGCCAAACAGGTTTGGGTTTTCTGCTGTTTGGGTGGGATTTTTGCTGATCTTTGTTTTCTCCTATTCAATAGGTGGGTGGATTTGGCAATAATACTGATCAAGTGCTGTTCTAGTTGCACAGAGTTTAACAATGCACTTGACTCTCCCTGTCAGACCAGGCTGTAGTGCTGGTGGCTTCACGTGGCCATGGGCAGTGTCAGCAGTCTGGTGGGCAGGGTGTTGCCTGGGAGCCCCTGATAGTAGTTTGCAGAGATAAAAACCTTCTACTGGAAAAACAAAGAATCGGGAAAATGAACTTGCAATTTGTTACTATGTAATAAAACACAGGACCAGCTTTCTTTGAAGGATTTGATTTGGAAATGTGTTACCCCTGCAGATAGGGTAGATCATAACCCCACTGATCTGTGTGTGTTCTTTCCATCCCTTCTGGTGGGATTTATTCCAGTGTTTCATTCATGTTGCTCAGCCCCATGTGGGGCATAACTGCAATTCATGGGCTGCTGGGGAGCTTAAAGAGCTCAATTCAAGAGGTTTTTTTAGTTTAAAAAACCTTTCTAAGATAACTTTTGAAATCATGTGTGTGTGATTTTTCTTTTTGTCCTTTTTATAATATAATATAAGTTTGTTTTTTTTTTTTTTTAAATTGCTTTTTGTTTTGTGTTAAACTCATTGTGAAGGAAGAAAGGGTTCAAACTGAAGTGGAATAGCTCATTTAGCCCAAACTGTGTGTGTTGATGGGTTCTTTGTTTGTTTTAATTTTAGTAGTAACCTTTTTTGATTCTTTCTGGTGTATGTCCCAAGCTGGGACAATAGGTAGTTTTTCAAAGTGTCACTTTTTAACAAGATGGGAAAACTGTTCCACATCTGCTGCTAAGAACAATTTCAGGATGTCTCTGTTTATTTCTGTTCTGCTTTTCTCTTCTGTTTTCTTCTACATCTTGTTTCAACCTTTCTTATCCTTGAAGATTTGAGTTGGAAGGCATCCACAGTGTGTCTTAGCTGACATCCTTACAATGAGACTGATAACACAATGAGAAAACTGCTGCATTTACACTCCAGCTTAATTTTGTGGTTTCTATTAGTACCTGCTTGGACAGACCAAGAAGTAGTTGTCTGACTAAAAATATGGAGCAATTTGTTATGACTTTTTTTTTTCCTAGTAGGAAACCCATTCTGATTATAGGTGCAGCTAATTAGCACCTTTCCTTTCAGTGATTTTTTTGGGGGGCTTTTTTTGGTGATGGTTGTTTAATTTTGAAAAAAAAAAAAAAAAAAAGCCCTAAACCACTTCAGCATTCTAATGAATTCTAATTACTTCATAGTTTCTCAAAAACACACAAAGGTGGTGGAGTTTAGTGCCTATGTTTCACCTTGAAGAACAAACTGATTTCATTTCTCTACTGAAAAGTGTGTATGTACTTATGCTATATGTGTGTGTTTCTTATCATCTAGTAAATCTTTAACATCATGGGCACAAAAATTGAAACAAAACCAACCCAAAAGAATAAATGCTGAAGAAGTATGTGTGAACTCTATGCAAGAAAATGAGCAAGCAAAGAAACTACCACTTGAGAATGTAAGTCTCTCTTTGTTATGATGTTTTTCTAATTTTATTCTTCTCACTGGTATGTTTCCAGGGTTATAGTATGTTGTAATTCAACATGTGCTTTCATCCTATAGTTTTTGGAAGCATCTTCAGCTGCTAATGTCTCTTTTACCAGAACTCTTTACATGTGGAGCCATTAATCAACTTTCTTCAGGGCAGATGTTATTCTTCCAGATTAGGATTTTAAGTTGCAGGAATTATTGTTCCATTTGGTTTGGGCTTTTTTAGTGTCCTTAGCAGTCTCTTATGTTAAAATCAAAACTTATTTTTTTCCTTTTGTGTTGTTTGTATAAGAAAAATACATTCCTTTATGTCTGTGTTTGACTGTGGCTTGGCTAAATTGAACTACTCCAGTCAGTTACAGCACTAGTTGCAAAAAGTAACCAAACCTCACCATAGACATTTAGGAATCTAATTGGCTCTTTAGAACCATTTGCACTAATGCCTATTGCTGTGACTGCAGAATTAGCTCAAAATACTTCTTTTCAGAAGAATTTGGTTTGTGTTCCTCCCTCCCCCCCATTATATTGAGTTAGGAATTGTGTATGTGCACAAATCTGATTATTTTGGGGAGAGAAGTTTAATCACATGCAAAACATCCTTTGGGTCAGATTATAACATGATTGGGTAACAATCATACATCTCACTATCATGTTTTAGAAATATTTCTAGTATATTAATTGTCATAAACCTATCTCCTTATGTTATATTTAAGGAAAAACAAAATCCTGAAACTCAGTGAATGACTCCACCTACAAAAGAATAGGAGAACTAGCAAATACAAACCACTTGATTCAAGGCAGGGTCTGTTTTCTTTACTGTAGTTGCCTTGAGGGTGACCCAGAAAGAGTAAGAGTAGCTGTTGGCATTTGCTTTCTCTAATCCATTGTCAGTGGAATCAGGATGTTACTCTAAGGGGATATTTCAAACCAGGAGTCAAATTTATCTGCTGTGGATTATCACTTTTCTCTCAGCTTTTGAAAATATCTTTATCTTTCTATTCCTTTGTAAGAATTCAGTTGATACCCCTTCATTTTCCTTTCTTTCTCCTTAGGCAAAGGAGAATCCCTAAATAAAAACATTAAGAGGGACAAAATAGCCTTGAGGTGAGATGGTACTTCATGCAAAAACTTGAAAAGCTTTAGTTCTAAATCTTTCTTTTCTTACTGTTGTTAACTAAAAGGGTACTATCCTGTTTTAGTCTTCAGCTGTATGAGGTGGATGAATTTGCCAACTAACCTATTAAGCTGCTGTAATGGAACAAAAAGAAGTGTGGTAGAAAAGAGCAATGTGAGATGACCATTTTACAGCTAGCTGCCCTCACTCAGTTGCTCTTACGCCATTGTCTTATACCAGTTACTTTTCTTCCTTTAAGAAAGAGGAGAGTTGTAGGAAATCTTAAATCATGTGAATTATTTTTTCCATGTGTTGGTCCCACCCTTTTCAAAGTTTCTGTAATTACCTAGGGAGGTTGCTTGGAGAGTTTGGAGTGATGAGGAGAAGGGTATGTAGTATCTTGTCTATTTGAGGTGGTAGTGTTTACCTCTGGATTTGTGGTAGGTGGAGTCATAACAGCTGAATGTAACAAATTCCAGTCTTAGGGTTGGAACACTTTTGTTGGTAAGTCATCCCTCTATGTACTTACACCTCTTAAGGAGCAAGAAAGTTTAGAAGTCCATCCAAAATGGGTGTTTTTGTAATGGTTAATCTCAAAGATGGTCCACAAGTAGACAGGCATATAACTTAACAAATATCACTATCTTTTAATCATGTGGCTTAGATTAGTTCCCTGATTGACTGCCATTACCCTGAATATAAACAGTATATGTTTGGGTCATGCTGTGTAATTAAATTTAAGCTCAGCTTAAGAAGACTAATAACATTTACATGCCATTGTACACTTTGATTTTTTTTTTTCCCTTGTCTTGCAGTTTCCCTTACAACTTTGTTTTTCCTTTGTAATTTTAGACAAACCTTACTGATGCTGCTTTGCCACCTTACACTTTTTACCTCAACCAACCAAATAAAAGTCCGAATTCCCTAGTGTCTGAAGCTTCAGGTACAGCTAACTTCTTGTACTTCAGTTTCCTTTTCCTTTGAGTTCTTGTTTCTTAAAACTCTGACCAGAATGCAGCCCCAGTAACTTTGGGGAGGTGAGGAGGGTTTGAGCACTGACAAGCTATTCAACTTTGATACAGCATAGTTCTGCTTTTTTTGCTCTTGTGTTTGATGGTTCTTCCCACCTCTCACTGCTGGCAGATGTAGGACTTGTGACAATGCTTTTCTTCACATTTCTCAGCATTTCAAAGTTGAGCTTTATGTTTAAAACTGTTTCATAATGTAATTACTATTAAAGTCATGGTGGGGTATCAAATGATATTTCAAATATGAGCATTGTTGGTCGAGTAATCATAGGAGTGCATGGCCACAGAGGCAGAATTCCTGTAAGCCAAGGGCATGATTGAATAACTGTGTGAATAGACAAAAACAAAATAATTCAGTGTGTAATGTGGCATTTGGCTGGGGAGGGGAGTACATGTGCTTTTGTTTTTTTGGGGTTTTAGTATGATTTTGCTTTTGTTGTTTTGGAGGGGGTGTGTGCGCAAGGGGTGGTTGGGGGTTTGGTTTTTTTTGTGATGGGGGTGGAGATGTTTGTGTTGTTTGTCTTTCACAAAAGAAAAAAAAAACCTAATTCACATATTTTGATTGCAACAGGGTGGATTCATTTCAGTAACAAACAGGGGCACAGAGATGCAGTCCTGCAAACTGTGTATATTTATTGCTGCTTCACAACCCATTGAGAGAGGGACACATGCAAGAAATTGAAGTGGGCTTGAGACTGTGTCTAGTCCTGGTGTCTGTGATCTTGCATGCTGTAGAATGCTGTTGAGTACCAAACCAGGGTCTGTAGTAGCAAGTGTCTGCTCAGGATTATTCCTTGGGCAATGCAAATTTTAAGTGCTATACTGGAATGAGTAGAAATATAAAAGTTTGTTGTAAATGAGGATTTGTTCCTTGAGCACCAAAGAATAAACCTGCGTGTCTTCACTGATTTATAACTTTAATTACTGATGCTGTGTGGTGGAATACTGATTATGTTGCTTGTGCATTGCTTTGAGATTTTTGTAACTTCTGGTAACAGATCTGTAAGCAATAATTAACACAGCATTCTTGTTAGCAGGCAAAGTAACATCTTACTAATGGATCGTAGGGATTTCTACTCTATAGCAGTGAGCTTTGTAATTATTTTTTTTTTCTTTGATTGTTTCTTCTATTCAGGGCTTTCATATTGGAAATTAGATGAAAAGGAGATGTATCACTCTTTACCAGAGAATTTCAGAAATGAGTTCGCTGATATTTTCTCCACAAAGGTCTCACCAGATCAGGTAAATTTTGTACATGTTTTAAAAGTTGCCTTATAGTAGTTTAGTGTCTTTGCTTTTTTTCTATGGTGGAAAGAATCAGCCCTCCAGAAGATAACTTTGCTGTGAGAAATCTTTTGTTAGCCCAGTCTGATATTCTGTGTCTTCATTATTCATTTACCCTTCTAAAGCCACTTGGAATTTATTGACCTTTTGTCATTTAAAATAAATAGTGTGTATGGGAATTGAAAAGAGTAACTAGTATATTAAAGAGGTGTGTGCCTCATTAAAGATCCTTGTTTAAATTTGGTGCATTGAATAAACCTGCCTTCTGTTCTGAACTGACCTATTAGCTAAACCCACAGGACAACTTGTTTATCTGTTTTGGGGATAGAGGATTATGTTCAGATGAACTAATGTAGCAACTTTTCCTTTTGAAGTCTTCTCCTGATGAAACGAAGCTATCTTCATTGAAGGATATTTATCACAAGAGACAAAAGGAGAACAAGCAGCTGCCAGACCAGAATTTTATGCCACCTTCCCAGTCAAGTCACCCACCAGAGGTAACGTTCATGTCCTTACTTCGTGTCTCAGTCGGAAGGGATGATCCGTTACAGGCTGCTTTCACATTACCTGGCCCATGCTGCCATCTCCAGTATTACGCTGGAACAGCAACTCTGGCAGGCGTGGGATGGATGGGATCGGGAAAGGATCCAGCTGAGGAGAGCCCTGAGTAAACAAGGACCTCTGCCGCACAACCTTGAGGATGTGCAGGGACGAATCTGCTTGTGCTGAGGCTGCAGCTGGTGAAATCCAGGTGGAACTGCAGGCGCAGGAGCAGGGCTTTCTTACTGCCTCCCACAAGATAAGTTCTTCCCACCCGTGAAAGAGAAGAGGCACAGGTTGGGGGCATGTTCTTTGTCGGATCTGTTTCTTCATACAGCTTTCAGTCTCGTACAAAATCCAGTAATGGTGGCTACTATACAACTGTCTTGTTTATATAATCCATGAAGGGCTTTCCCTAGTGGTACAAAAGTATTGTTTCAACCTACAAGCAGACTTCATAGTCCTTCTATTTACATAACTGAAATTTCAGAGGTTTTCTAGGCAGCTACAGATGTTACATGTGTCTTTTATTCTTAATGGAAACTTAGAAACTCAAGTTGCAAAGGTTTGGAATATGAATCTTTATCTAAGCTTTACAGGTCCTGTCACCTTGTTGTTACCAAGTTACTGTAGTACTATTCAATATAATTCCTGCAATGCATTACATAGATTACTTATGTCTTCAGATAAATTCCATTCACAAGAACAAGAGTTGAATCACAATTTGCTTTACCTCTCTAACTTAATTCCTAGATCTTGACGTTGGACCCAACCCTGCATATGAAACCAACTCAGCAGAACCCAGGACGCCGTTTTTTCAGTATTCCTGAAGACACTACTCCTTTTTCTCCAGACTCTATGGCAGAACCTGGATTTTCAAGTCATTGTGACACAGACTCTTTTTCACAGACAAGCAATTCATCTCAGTTAGATGATTCTCCAAAATACCCTCCTAGCAGCAGAGCTGTGCACCTGGACAGCTGGAGAAGTCACCCATTCCAAAAGGAAAACAAGAGCAGCTGTCCCTTCCCAATGGCATATGTGGATGCTGTTAGTGATACTTCAGTCAACACTGAGGAGGAAGAAACCCTGACTCTAACTCCATCTTCTGTTACTCAGTGTGCTGACAACAGTTTGCCAGAATATAGCCTTTCAGTGGCATCTGTTGAAGATCCTGTGGTAATGTCAAAGTAAGTAATTTTTTTTCCTTTTTAAAAGTTGTAGAGTTGATACTTTCCTGAAAATGACACAACAATACAAACAAAATGAACAAAATACCTGAGTTCTGTTTGCTTAGAACATAGATGAACGTTGCTGCTTTTCTTCCTCTTTTTCCTCTTTTTGTTTCTTTCTCCCCAGAAGAATACAGATGGCGTATAAATAGAACTGTAATTTTCCACTTCTTACAATTGTCTTTCTTTAGTCTTAATCTTCTTTAGACCATAGTGTTTAATCTAAGGCACAACATTTGTTCTCTTGTCTTTCGTGCATGTCAATGCCTTAAGTGGAAGGCAAAACAATTTTTAATGCTTTAATGCTTTGGTTATTTCTATGTTAAAATGAAAACACATTCTTTCTTCTTAGGCTGTAGGAGGGAGATAATTCAGGCAGAGTTTCAAGGTTCTGTGGGGGTTATGTTTTCTTATTTAGAGTCAAATGGTGGGAGAAGCACAGAATTACTAAAAATAAATATCCCCCCTTGACTGTTGAAGCTTTTGTGATCTGCACATGGACAAGCAGACATGACATATTCCATGTGTGAGAGCTTTTGCTGGGGTCATAGTTTCAGGATAGTTTAATGTTTTGAGCTTTTCTATTCTAATTTTACATGCATCAGTTCTAGTGCATAGCAAAGGAGAGATTTCTATGGCATTTCATAAATATTGTGTTGTTTACAGGTTGGATTGATGGGCTGAGGTCAATTGTATGAGGTTTAACACTCTTGCACTTTTGTCACAACAACCTCAGGCAACGCTTCAGGCCTGGGGAAGAGTGGCAGGAAACTGCCTGGCAGAAAAGGCCCTGGGGGTGCTGATGGGCAACTGGCTGAACATGAGCCAGCATGTGCCCAGGTGGCCAAGAAGGCCACCAGCATGCTGGCCTGGATCAAAAATAGTGTGTCCAGCAGGAGCAGGGAAGTGACTGTGCCCATGGACTCGGCACTGGCGAGACCATAGCTGGAATCCTGGGGTCAGTTTTGGGTGCCACAGGGTAAGAAAGACCTTGAGGGGCTGGAGTGGGTCCCGAGAAGGGCAAGGAAGCTGGAGGGGGCTCTGGGGAACATGGCTGGTGAGGAGCAGCTGAGGGACCTGGGGGTGTTCAGTCTGGAGAAGAGGAGGCTGAGGGGAGACCTCATTGCTCTCTACAGCTCCCTGAAAGGAGGCTGGAGTGAGGTGAGTGTTGGTGTCTCCTCCTGAGGAATGGTAATAGGATGAGAGGCAATGGGCTTAAGCTGCACCAGGGGAGGTTTCAGCTGGACAGACTGCCCAGGGAGGTGGTGGAGTCACCATTCCTGGAGGGGTTAAAAAAACATGTAGATGTGGCACTTGGGGAGATTTTTTAGTACTCATGGTAGTGTTGGGTTCATGGTTGGACTTGATGATCTTGGAGGTCTTTTCCAACCTTAATGATTCTATGATTTTGTGTTGTTATTAATATTTGTATAAATGTGAAGACCTCTATGCAAGCCTTAAGTGTCTGACACCACTGCCTTAGATGCCAAAGCTTTATTTGCTTTAATTTGACTGCAGAAAGGTTCTGTATGAGTTTTATATGTGAAATTCATTGTATACAGCAGTGCATGGTCACGTGGAGAGCTGGAAATTTTGTTGTTGTTGTTCTTAATTTTGAAACTAGGATTAGACAGAACTTGAGGGAAAAACATGCTCGACATATAGCTGACCTACGAGCTTACTATGACTCTGAGATACAGAGCTTAAAACAGCAGCTGGAGGCAAGCCAGAGAACTGCTTCATCTGAAGACTTGAAGAAAATCAATCAAAATCTCGCTGACAGGTACTGTTTGTCCTGATTCCTCTGGTAGGTTATATTCCTTCCACATTAAAAACTGAGTGTGCTTCTTTAGAATATCTTGAAAAGTTTCTGTCAGTCTTCAATTCTGAAGATTTCATGCATCTGTGATATTATTATTAAATATAAATTTTGCATTGATGCAGCTGTTTAAGATCAGTGTAAAATTATTGTTAGGCAGAAAGTGTAATGTTTGGACCAGAGGTCTTGTTTGACCTGATTTTTCCTGAAGGCAGTGTAAATTTTACTCAAGAAAAGCCAGCAGGCAGAGGTAGTCCTGAGCAATCTGTAATGGAATTCTCTGTGTTGTTAGATTGCTCTCGCCTGTCAGGCTGATGAACATCATCCCTCTTCACCTCTCATGTCAGAACTGCAGATGATAAACGACCACTACCAGCTACTCTGGTAGCTTTATAAAGCCCCTTTGCCAGTCAACACTTTTTGAACACATACTACTACTGGAGTCTGTGTGATTCAACTACATGTTCCATACAGCCTGAATGTTTGCTACCTATAGAAGCTTGATATGATTTTAATATGTATTTTGACTAGAATTAATTATATTAGACATTTAGACTGCTAAAATATTTCACAAAAATCTATGCCCTCCAGAGTAATTGAAAAAGTGTGTGGGTAGTTGGGATTCTTTTTTTACTTGCCTTGCAGCACGAGTGTGTTCTAACTATGAAAAGTGACTTCTGAGCAGTCAATTATTGAGGTAAAGTAGCTTGAGATGTGATTTCAGTCATTAATTATCACACAGCATCATCAATTAGCTGAAGTGGAACTCTGCTCTGCTGCCTCTGAGCTGCTTTTGGTTCTGCAGCTCTTACACTCAGAGCCATCTGGAGCCTCTGCACGTGTTCCCAGTTTGCTGCTTGCCCTCCTTCAGCACCACAGCCCTTCCTAGCAGAGACACTGGGCAAGGCTGCAGCAGCCAAAGACTGAGGGAGGAGGTCACAGGCTGGGCACCAAAATTTGTGAGAATGCTTGAGGGAGGAAAGAAGGCTATAAAATGTATATTTACTACTCGAAAATTGCAAGAGATTTTTGTAATCTGTGTGTTCTAAATAGATGTGACCAGTTGGATGCAGCTCTGAATGAAGCAAGTGCTCGCATAAAAGCCCTTGAAAATAAGAATAATGTGCTAGAAAAGCAAGTGGTAAGTATTTGTTTTTAAATAAAGTTCCCTTTAACTAAAAGGACAAGAGAATGCACTTGTTCACTATTAAGCTGATCTGTGTTTCCATATCTTTCTCTTTTTATTTTCAACCTTTCTCCTTCATGTATGACATCAGGCAGGATGTTACACCAGTGTAGCTTACTAGCTGAGTTTGACTCCCTACTTGAATTATCATCACTTTTGTTTATGAACAACCTTTCCAGCTGAGCAGGGATCAAGCTGAGTTTAAGAGTGAAATATTGTGATGTTTATGTCTCTTCAGATTTTGTTTTAAATTTTATTTTGTTTTAATTACTTTCTCTTTGATTTCATGTTAGAGCTGTGATAAAAGCAAATCTCATCTGGACTGAGGCAAAATTATTCTCTAATATATATACTTATACAATCTTTCTGGCTAGGGCAGACCAGTTTGCTTATGATTCCATAGCTGCATTTACTGGTCAAAGCACAGGACACTTTGTCTTGAAAGGTAAACACCTGAGAGACTAATTCATTCAACCTTTATACACATTTTTCTATGCTGGGAGGCAAGACACTCAGCTGGGATTAGAAACCTAACCTCAAGATGTTTTTATTTTATAGGACTTGAAATATCTTTTAGGCTTTTAGTCTTTCATTCTTTATAAATCACAGAAATGAGCAAAAATCTTGTTCGGTTCACGTACAGATGCACCCTTGTTTTCTATTTAGGTGATTTTTAGATCAGGGTTTGTAGTGAAATAAAAAATCTGCTAGGTAAGCATCATAATGAATGTTTTTTCTGCTACAGGCAGATTGGAGAGAACGTTTTTATGCAGCCAGTAACACTTCCAAAGTTCTGCAAGAGCGTATTGAAGAAATGCGCACGAGTAATAAAGATAAGGATAACACCATCAGCCGACTGAAATCAAGGCTTAAAGATCTAGAGGAAGCATTTGAAAAGGCCTACAAGTTATCTGATAATAAAAATACAAGGCTAAAGGAAGAAAATAAAATGTTTCAAAATGTAAGTAAGGAAATGGGCAGTGGTGTTTACAGGAGCACGGCATGTTGGGAACACAAGTCCTGGATGTTTCGGAAAGCTGCTCAAACTTATCAGTGTAAAGTCTTAGTGCCCCACTGAGAGATCAGGAATTTTTCAGCTGACTACTTAGTATGCCAGCTGTTAGCTGATACTATGGACCTAATAGATATTTAAAAACAATTTTAAGGCAGCAAGTGTGTACTTGCTGTGATAACACTTGTCATCGTCTCTTAGATGTTTTATTACTCTACGTGCTATTACTTAATTTTATTTTTAGAGGCATTACAGGAAATTTTATTTTCTAAAGTTATTTTCCCCCTCTTAGTAGGGCTATCGTCTCTCTCAGATGTTTTATTACTCTATGTGCTATTACTTTATTTTTAGAGGCATTACAGGAAATTTTATTTTCTAAAGTTATTTTCCCCCTCTTAGTAGGGCTGCACTGAATTTTTCATAAGTACTCACAACTTGCTAAAACTGCTAATTGTATATGATTTTTACACTGAATCAAAGGAATCATTCTTGTGATTCTTCAGCGATAACTTTACAGAATGTTTAAATGGATTGGCAAAATGGGTATTAGCTGGAAAAGCTAATTCATGCTTTAACTCCTTTTTTACAATTAAAACCTAAAAATACAAACTCATCTTTGAAGTCAGTGAGGAAATTTATGATTCATTCAGTTCCTTTGGTTCCTTTAGAGAGAAATTATTTGAAAATTAGAAATACATGGTGTAGTTATCTCTGTCTCCTCTTGTCCTGTCTATAATTTGTTGTTCCAATTAGAAGATGCTAGAACTTAAGAAATACTGTTAAAGTACACTCTGTATCCCCTGTAGTGCTTCTGCATGTTAGACAAGCAATTTAGATAATTTTACAGCAGTCAACAAAACTTAATTGTATATGGTCTCAGTGTGGGTTTGTGTGTTTTGTTTTAGCTTTTAGGAGAATACGAGTCCCTTGGGAAAGAACATGAAAGAGTAAAGGTATGTGCATGCTAGTTAATTAAAAAACCAAACATGAAAGATAGGTGATAAAGTGCCATAATATTAACTGAATTAACTTAAATATTTTGAAAAAGATCAAACTGAAAGACCCATATTTATTTTAAGCAATAGCTTTTTACTATATCTTCAGAGCCTTGGAGGGAAAAGGAAAGAGTTTGGAAGGTGTTGTTTTCCAGTCATAGGGAGCAAAAATACTGCAAAGTCAAAACCAAAGAAGTTGAATGGACCTCCCTTTCAAATAGGAAGTGTATTTAATGTATTGTTTTCAAGACTAATGTAGAGTTACTCATTTTTCTTTTAATACATTGTAGTTTCTAGGCTTTTTACTTTTTTTCTTTGTGTACTTGTAGGATACATTAAATGCAACTGAAAACAAATTGCTTGATGCAAACACGCAGATTTCTGATTTGAAAAGGTAAATGTGAAACTGTCTTATTACTTTTTTTTAACAACATGAAGCACAGACTGTGGCCTGAACATTTACTCCTAGATTATAAAGGCTGTAGATCATGCAAGATTAATTACAGCTTAGGAAGCATTTCATGTTGCTTTATGTTACTTTGTATACCATGTAAAAATCTTGTTATTTTTAGGCTATGGGTTATTTTTTTCCTACTTCCTCAATCACAACTCCTTCCAGTGGGATGCAGTAAATTGCTTCCTTTCTGGTGAGTCAGCTAGCCCAGCCAGTCCACTGCACAAGCTTCCACTGCTGCAGTTGTCCTCTCAGTGACCCCCCTCTTCAGCTAACCAGTCTCTGTTCTGGTTTTCAGGAGCCAGGATGCTGCCAGGAGTTTGCTGTTCAAGGTTATGGCTCTTAGGCGTGAGCAAAGGACAGAAAGGTGTTCTGTCTATAGAGCAGGAATAATATCTCTTGTGGATGTCCCTTGTGTTAGCTGCATTGATGTTTTTGGCTGGAGGAAGATAAATCCATTGAGCTTTATACTTGCTGGGTAGGCCCTAGGCAAGATGTATGTGACCACAAAGGGATTTACAGTTACAAACACTTCCTCTGGTTTGGGATTTCTCAGCCACTCTATGTCAGTGGTGTTAAACAACACACTTGCTCAGGAAAGTCTGAGAGGTGGGAGGAGAGAACATGAAAATTCATTCCAAGTGTCATTGCCACCAAGCCTGTGCATGATCTTCAGCCAAAAACAGAAAAATAGCAAATAGGATACTTGAGATATGTCACAGTCCCTTTCTTTGCTGCTCAGATCACCTGAATTTGCAAGAATAATGCATAGGAACCATTTAAGAAAGGAATAGAAGGAAGCCAGATCCACTCTGCCTTCAATTTTTATTGGGACTGTTGAGGAAATGAAGATATTGTGAGGGACAGTTCAGTCAAGTATTTCTGTTGGTACTTCTATTTTTTCCTGCCTGACTCTCAGGTAGGGACCATTCCAGACTGGGGAAATTGTAGTGGAAAAGGAGATTTTGACACCCTGTTCCAAGGCCCTGCATTTCTGTTCTCTGAGTGGGGAATGCCTAAGGTTGTGTTGCATTGCCAAGGGTTAGTTCACTGAAGGTGTGGACTGCAGTATGTGGGAGAGAGGAGAATCATCTGCAGAGCCTGAGCAGCAGATTGGTGGAGTTACCTGAGACACATGCAGGAGACAGAGATGCTCGTTAAATCCAGAGTCAGGGAGACCTTCCTATAAATACATCATTTCAGGGAGGAAAAATGTCCTTGTTTTCTTCTCTCCAGCCCCTCTGAGGTGAATGCTTTGATCCTCAGCAGTATCTCCTGCTCCTGTCTCTCTAGCTAGGTGACCTAGCTTATTTAATTTAGAATTCAAATACACGTTTAGATATGTGTTTAGACAGATAAAGATGTAGTTGCTTTTGCTCTTCTGCTTCACCCAGGATATCTCAATAAAAACGAGTAAATTCTAAGAAATATGTTGTATCTTTTATGTCATTTATAATGCTTCTTTGCTGCTTCCACATTAGGACAATTTCAAGGCTTGAAGCTCAGCTCAAGCAGGTGGAACATGAGAATACGCTGAAACTTCGCCACGTAACCGAGAATCGGTTCAGAGCCTCTTGTGCCAAGTGAGTGAGTACTCCCACAGTGTGAGAACAGGGCGTGTGTTTTAGAATGCTTCTTAACTTGTTTTGGCTAAAAATGGATCAAGGTGATGTCAGTCTGTAGGGTAAACTGGACAAACACATGCTGAAATCCAGAGGCTTCACATGCCAAGACTATTAAAAACATAAATACTTTGGATAGATACGTGTGACTTGGCAGACAGTCTCTAGTCTTCCCAAATAACTGTTTGTGTCTCAGTTTCTCAGCTGTGTAGGAGTTCCTCAACAAAGATTTTGGGAATAAAATCCAATAGTCCAATCAGACATTGGAGGTCTTCTTTGTGTCGTTGTCATTGATTTGAAAGGCTGATTACTACTTTTTATGTTTCTGTATATAGTTTGTACAGGTATCCTGGGAGTAAAGTGAAGTTCAATTATGATGCTTACTCTAGTTTGAATTGTGAATTCAGACTATTGAAGCTTAAATAGTGAATTCATTCTAGTTTAAATTGTTAATTCATTGTTAAGGAAATTAAAGCTGGCCTGTGTCCTGGGTTGGTTGGTTGTGTTCTTTTTTCTTTGTTTGTGTGTTTTTTGTTTGTTTTAATGTTTTAAAGACCTGAAAAGCTTTGTCCCCCTTTGGTTTTTTAGTTCTGGCTTCTTTGGTGCCTCTTCCCCAGTTCAGCACTGACACTGTGAAGCACAAAATGATAATGTGTTTTATTATATACTGAGCAGTAGTATTTTGGGGGGGAGATCTGATTTTTGATGATTATGAAGATACAAGTCATTTATGAATTAATATATTGCAGGGACAGATTTTTATTTAGACCTATTTTGTTATTTATGAACAAGATCCCTCAACAGTGAACAGAGAAAAGGAAGAGCTGAACATGGCAGACTATGTTCATGAGGGAGGAGGATGTCAGGGCCAATATGGATGTGGAAGTTAATCTATCCCTAACTGATCTCAAAGGCACAAAGAAAGCCTCGTTCCAATCAACTGCACAGCAGGATAGGTTTACAGAATAGTAGTTATGGTTCATAGCTTGTGTAAACAGGAATCCTTTTTTCCTAATTATCTGACTTTCCTGTGTGTTTAAAAAAAAAAAAATCCAGAAAAAAGTAACATTTTTCTTCAGCTATTTCAAGATAATAATATAATCATTGATCCTGATTAGTTAATATTTATCACTCTTAGGCCATCAACAGTGACTTTTTAATGTTTGGGGATTTTATTTTGCTAATAAATCATGTCAAAAGGAAAGCTAATGTCAGATGCTCTAAACTGTTGGAGTAATCTGCAGTGAAATATTTTTGTTTAATTAGTTGAGAATTAATTGTTACCCAAACCTTGATCTGAGTAAGGAGCATTAAATTACAAGAACATCTTTGTTGAGTTCTACATCCTGAGTATGTTGTATAATGCAGACTGAAACCTCAACTTTTTTTTTTCCCATAATTTTATTTTTACTTTACAAATTTGTTTTAAAAAAGCAGTTACTTCCCCAAAGTATTTACATGCTTATTCTATATTTATTATTATTTCTGTTTAATTAGAATAAATAACGGCACTGTCTTGATATTTTTTTTTCTTATATTAAAAACAAAAGAAGAGCAAAGAATTCAAAGGCCATTAATAATTTTTGAAGTTTTTTGTTCCCACAGCAAGTTGGCAACTCCTGATGTCAGCAGACGAAAGTGGTTGATACCTGGAGCAGAATATTCCATCTTCACTGGCCAGCCTTTGGAAGCCCAGGAAAGCCCCAAAGATAACAGATTAGAAGACACTTATATTCCTTCTAGGTGAGTTGATTTTCTTCAGTCTCTGCTGTGATGTAAAGTTGAATACTTGTAAAAATACTTTTATCCAGAATTGAATAGATTGATGTTTTTAGATTTTTGTGGTTGTTCAATAGAGAGTTCTAAAAAACTTTCTCAATGTTATACAGTTCCTTAAAACAAACCAGCTTCCTTTCCTCCTTTGCTAACCTCGTATGAAGCAAGCAGCAGCAGTACCTGCCCTGGGATATGAGAAGGCTTCAGCTGCATCTTGCACCACTGTCTGTATAGTCTCCATTTCGTGTCCAGCTCTGTGTTTGGACCCAGTGTGTTCTGTTGTGTTGGAGGTGAGCTGTAGCTGTTGGCTGCAGCTTTGCTCCAGGGTGAAGTTTCAGGTGTACTTTAGGGTGTAATTTCTCCTTCTTTATTCCTTAGAAGTTTCTCCTGTTGGGATGTATTTAGTTCTAAGAACATGTTGAGTCCCCAGATTGAACTCATGCTGTTCAACTTTTAGATTCTTGAGTTGGCTATAACACAATCCCTTATTTCAATGACCGTAAATCTCAAACCTACCCTAATTTCTTTGGGTTTTTGTTCATTCAGCTAGTATTTGGATATATGAAATTAAGTAAAGCAACGTGATCCCTTTTTTTTTCCCTGCTGCCTCACATTAAGGTACCATTCTCCTCCTGAAAAAGACTCCTCACAAGAAGACTCTTCAACAAACACAACAGACAAACAAAATGAGATGTCAGAGGCGCCAATTATAAAAGCCTTTAAAGAACTTGAAGAAGGAAAAGCATTTAAAGACTGGGGTACACAGACAGAGAAAGAAGAGCCATCAGCTAGTAACTTTTATTTTTATAATCCTGAACTTGTCTTTACTGGCTTTTCTTTGTTTGCATGTCTTCTGGTTTTGTTATTCTCAGCATTAAAGTCTCATCAGGCCTGAGTGGTGGGATAAAAACAGTTTTAGCATGCCAACTTCTGGAGTTTCCAAAGAAAATTCAAAATTATATAGCTAAGTGACTTGTTTAAAATGGAGGGAATGCAAAGGTTGCTGTTAGGTCTCAAGCTAGAGGGTAGTTAATGTCCTTTTTCTAAGAATATCTCAGTATTTATAAACATAATGGAGCCCTAACAAAGCTCTGGCTGGCTGTACATCCATTTTAGTTTTGTCCTCATGGTGTTGTACCAGATTGTTATTAAAAGCTGGCACGTGACTATAGGACTACAGTGAGCTGTTCTAACAACATTGATTTAGGAAGCCTTGTAATTGGAAAACACTGAGGCTTTCTTAAATGCTTGTATGTGTGGTTTAGGCAAAAGCTCCAACCCTCTTTCCCCAAAGATGCTTCTGCCCAGCTTTCCACTCTCTCTTTATTAAATCAGTGGGTTTTTAGCATAATTTCTCCCACACATGCTACAAAGCATCTCTTTTTATGAGTTACCCTGTTTCATGAATATGATGAGCAGGTAGTGAGACCTGAGCAAACCAGCCCAGAGAGCAGACATGGGGCAGGCTAAGCGCAGTCATCGTATGGTAAAAGCCAAGTACAGGAGAGTATTTGTGAGCTCTTGTATTGAAAAAGGTTGATTAATATCATAACTTTTTCCTTTTCATTAGAAACATCAAATCGACGTCAGACTGTTGGGTTTGTTGAAGCTTCTTTGGTTGCTAACAGATCCCCAGAGAAAGGCAAAGAGCAGCACAGACCGAAGCGGTTCAGCTCCCCTTCTGGGCAGAGGTCGTCGTCCCTCCCTCCAGCCAACAGGAAACCCAGCACTCCAAGTGTGTGCTTCTCTGAGCTTTGGTTTGTGCTACTCAAAAAGTAGAAGCAAATAATAACAGCCTGCTCTAGAAGAAAGAAAACAAAGCTAGAATCCCAGTGTTATCCTAACAGATAGTCTGGGGGGGTGGGGGAAGCTTGTCTACAATCACAGAAAAACATGAGAGTTCCAAGTTTATTTTTCTGTGTTGCAATGCACTTTTCATCTAATTTAAATAAACATGTAGACACTTTGAGAAGCGTTCTTTTAAGATGTAAGCATCTGATCACAACTGGAAGATGCTGCACTGGGAGAAGTTTTAGGTAGTTAAACATACTTTGTCTTTTGCAGCAAGTAGAGAGATAATGTTGGCACCAGTGTCTGTGACATACAGCCCAAAACGATCTCCAAAAGAAAACCTCTCTCCTGGATTCAGCCATTTGCTTAGCAAGACTGAAAACACAGTGACAAGGTACAAGTCTCGTGCATACAATTGTGTTCTGATCATTGTTATAGCAGCAGTAGTTTAAGCAGGCTCAATGCTGCCATTTCCTGTTCTTTAAAAGTCCTAGAAAACGAGTGATGTGATGATGGCTGAATATAACACTAAGTTTTACTTTTTAAAATCTGGCAAGAGAAATCTAGAAAGATCTCCTGTCATTAGCATTCACCAAGATGAGATGTTGGCTTTACTACTGATGCAACGTTGACCAGTGACAAAGAAGTAATGAAAGTGGAAAGTAATATCTACCTACCTGTCATGGCATCTACAAGAGTGTTAGAAAGTAGCTAAACCTGACTTTCTGGTAACTGTACTAAATACTTCAGTCTCCATAGAGGTCTTTGCTTGGCAAGGCTTGTAGAGTATGAGAATGTCCTGAGCTGTGAGATGAAAGCACAGGACACGTGCATGAGGCAGCAGAAATGTCTAGCACCACTTGGTCCTTGAGGATGACAACATGGGGGCTCTGAGTTTGGGAGTGACAGGGTGGTCAGCTTCTGAAAGAAAGTCACATGCAAGAGGTGTTCTGGTGTGTGCCAACAGGAGCATATTGGGGTAGGTATTACCACTATGAGTGGTAATTGGAAGACTTACAATGCCTGTGTTGTTTTATAAAACAATTGTTTGTTTAACCAGAAGGTGAAAAAGTAGAAACTATTGTATTTCTTGATACATGATTTCTAGCAAGTAATTGTTGTGCACTTTTTGCTCTGTAGATTTGATATACTTCTCGATGACCTAGAAAATGGTCCTACATCTACTCTACACCACAGTAATCCAAGAAAAAGGCTCCAGTTTCTCTCACTAGATGATGCAGAAGGTAATCTGTCCAAGTGGGGGGAAAATGGTTCTTTTATCTTTTCTTTAACCATAATTTCTTCCACATTGGTGATGGCTGCTTGAATAGAAAGCTGACACTTTGGGAAGTCCAACTTTTAAAATCCCTCTAAGTCTTGTTTTATTCCTCTAGGCAGAGAAATATAATTTATACAGTATTTTATCTTTATGTATGTGTGTGTGTGCACTAAGACAATGGAACAACCAAAATAATTAAATTGAGAAAGCAGGGACATATGTTTTTCTCTGCTTAACTCAGTTGTACACTGCATATCTTAGCAGGGTCTCTATTAGGAAGTACGTGGTCATACTAATAAAATTCTGTTGCTAAATGTTGCATTATAAATAGGAAAGAGTAACTAGAATAAAGCCAGTTGTTTAAGATATTTTTAAATGATTGATTGAACCAAATCTTTTCTCACTCTGGTAATTCTTGCCACAATGTTTTGCTTTTGTTTTTATTAATGCATTCAGTTAAACTGGTGTTTTCATGACAACTACTCTACTTGGCAATATTTAAAAATGTTGTACTAGTAAAAGTAATTCCGAATTAGCACAGTACAGTAATCTGTTTGTTAATGAAAAAATATGCTGTGTTATAGAGATCACTTGACAGGTGACCCATGCAAATGTTTTCAGTTCTTCTGGAAGGTTTGCTGAAGGCAAGCTCATGAGGCTTTGCTACTCACTGTCCACAGTTTATGGACTTCCAAGATCATGCTGCTTTTCTTGTTACTAGGGTTTTTTTCTGTCCTGTGTAATAATTTCACAGACAATTACAAAACTAACAAGATGACCCCTAATTTCTTGGCAGGGAGGCAGCATTCAGGTGTCAGACATGGCTCATGTGCTGAACCCATCAATCCTGGAATGAAGAAAGCAGCAGCTTGGGACGAGAGGAGCGCAGCTCCAAAATACGAGCCAGCGCTGTCGCCTTGTGAGGGGGACTTCAAATACACAGCAAGGATTAAGACTCTGGCTGAAACAGAGAGGCTCTTTGATGAGCTGACTCAAGAAAAACTACAGGCAAAGATTAATTTTATTTTAAAGTTGTGTTGAAACATAATTATTTTAAGAGAAGTGAGGGAGGTGACTGTACACCTATGCGATATGTGGCTGAAATTCAGGCACAGCTTCTGGTGTTACCCTGGGAATGTGCTGTTGGCATTCCTCACTCTGCTTCCCACCTTCCAGTCCTCTTCTGTCCCTAGCCTCATTAAAGGAGAATCTCTTTAACATAAACACAGTGTTGAATGGAAGGGTTGGAGTGGATTCACCTTTTGCCTTGATGGACAATGCTTTAAATCAGCCTTTCAAAGAAGGAAAATTATTCTGGCAAATAAGAGCCCTCTCTTCAAAATGGTCCCTGAGAGGATCTGCTTGTGAGTGTTAACATTCACAATCTGTTTTGTATGGCCCAGTGTTACAGTCACATTGGTTGTTTAACAACAGGACTGGAGGTGTCTCTGTCACCTGCACACCTCACCTCTTTTCCTAGGGTAGATCAGGGAGCCTGGTGTTGGCTCTTGAAACTGTGACTTACAGCTGTAGTATTTTCTGTTATCAGATTGAGGCTGCATTGAGTCGAATACCTTCTTCTGGGGGGAGAATGACCTTGCAAGCAAGATTAAATCAGGTGAAAAAGCTTCTACATGTGACTGTTTTCTGAAGTTGCTCTTCCACAATTTGGGAATGTCTAGTGTAGATGAGTTTCTCTATATCTTAAGTGTGATTACTGTGGGAATTTTTCCATACCACTGAGAGCTGTTCCTGAGAATGGCTGCATTTTCAATCTGTGTGAAAGATTTTCTCTTGAGTTTACTGCATTAGAAGATAATCAGGAAATTACTGCAAGTTAATTATAAACACACTCTGAATTGCTATGTAAAGGGTGCAAACCTGGATAGTTTGCATGCAGGTGATTCAGAAAAGAGTGATTAGCCCTGCAGACATTTCATTTCCTCTCTCCTGCCACAAGTTAACCTTTTTGTTTATGTCTATATATATATATATACACACAGATAAAGGAAAAAGTTTGTGTGTATACATACATATACATACTACAGTGGTGTATATTCTGCATAAGACTTTTTACAGAAGACTGTTCTTCTATAAAATAGAAGAAAATAGTTTTTATTTTCTGTAGATGGAATGCCTTTTTCTAAATTACTGCTAGAATAGTCTGTTCTTGCAATAACAGAGAGGGAAATAAAGGCAGTACACAAAATTCAGCAACTATGAAATAGATCCCTGAAGCTGTAGAGAGGATGTTGTGCTGCAGAAGAAAGTGCAAAGTCTAGGTTTTGGCTGGTTGAGTTTTGTCTACTTGAAAGTATAGAGCAGAAAAGAAGGCAAAAGTAAGTCATGTAGGTGGAATACAGAGAGTGCTGCCTTTGGAAAGCTCTGCAGGCTTTTAATAAAAACAAGTGTGTCAAAGTTGTGTTTTAGAGGTCTCTGTGAAGCCTAAAACTTGAGCATTTCCTAAATTGTAATCCCAGGGCTTATCACTTTATCAATCTGAAAGTAAAACTGCATTCCAGTAGATCAATACTCTCACTTGCTCCAGCAGTCACGTTTCCTAAATGCCTCTCTCTCATTATCAGCCTGTCCTGATTCTGGGCAACTTTGTCTCATGGAGTTTCAAGAGTTACATGGAAAAAAAAAAATAAAACCACCAAAACCCAACCAACCAAACCAAAACAGAATACCTGAAACAGTTTAAAAATAAAATGACAAATTTGTAGTTCTGGCTCTGTTTTTTGGGTGCTACTAGAAAGCTAGTAAAGAGTCCAAAAGGTTACCAGCCTAATATGGGAATAATCATGGTTCTGGCATTTTAGAAGGGTCATTGGGGTTTGTTGTGTTATTAAATCCTTTTTTTTTTAATTTTTTTTTTCTTTTTCTTGAACTGTTTCTTTTAGGAAGCCCTGGAAGATCGCTTGGAAAGGATTAACAGAGATCTGGGGTCCATCCGCATGACTCTGAAAAGATTCCATGTTTTACGTACCTCTGCAAATCTCTGACAATTCTCCCTTGAATGCAAATATGCTTTTTTTTTTGTTTGCACTAATATGTAATTATGCACTCAGTAAATGCAAATTGTTTTGTATTTTTATAAACCCTCAACAGTAGTTTTACAACCATGTTACCCTTTACAAACAGCAATATTTTGTACTTCGAACAGCCACCTATATTTTAAACATATTTTTGTTACACCTGAGAAATCAATGTTTATCCTGTATTGTAATATTTTTAGAAATAGTAATTATTTTTAAATAGTGATATTCAATTTATAATAAGAATAAGAAACTAAAAGGCAGCTTGTTTTCAGAAAATGATGGTGTTATCCTTTTGCACTTGGTTTTCTTCACCCTTTTATAAATATTTATGGTATGATGTAAATACTAGCCAGTCAGAAATTTTGAACTTTAATACAAAAGGCAACATGAATGACCTGTGTTAAAGAGAACTACTGTTATATGGTAAATCCTTTTAATGAAAACCTTATAACATGGATATTTCTCCTTGTGACAAAACTGTGAGCGACACTCTTGTCGTGGCTGGCCGGCGGCAGAGCGGCGCGTGGTTTGCTCGTTGGGTTGCCACTGGCCAGGTCAGGAGGATACTGCTCTGACTTATGTGCTGTCTCCCAACAGCCACAGCGAGTTCTGATACCCCTGGGACTGGAACTCCTTAACCCAAGTTCCTGCTTTAATCTGCCAGACTGGGATTTGTGCCGTGCCGCTTTTACGACTCTCT